AGCCAGTTCCCAGCAGGGGACGCACGAGATGCAACCATATATTGATGTTTCTCTTCCTCTCTCCTTCTCTTCCACTCTAAAGATAAATAAATAAAATCTTTAAACAAAAAATAATTTAAAAAATAAAAATAAACTAAGCACATATGTCACTAACATAGAATTTAAGATAGTTTTTATTTATTTATCTTATTTTAATTGTTGTTCAAGTAGTTTTCTGCCCTTTACCCCCATTCTACCCCTCAGCTCTCCCCACCTCCCTCCTGTCTCCACCCACCCCTTGTTATTTTCCATGTGTCCTTTATACCAGTTCCTTCATAGTTAGAAAAATTAAGATAACCACGAGAGAAGAGAAACTGTGGGCACAGTCCCAAGCTAGTAAGTTCTGGGTCAAGGTCAGAAGTGCTATGACACCCAAAGGAGGGTGTGGAAACGAGCAAGTTTGCTTTGTTTATCCCATGACTGTGGCGCTACAGACATTTAGCGGCAGGGCCAACCCTGAGGTCCTGCCCAATGCAGAGCCTCCACGCAGAACCAGCAACAGTCAGACCATTGCCAGCTGCACCTGCGCTAGGAAACACTGTGATAGATGGGAACAGGAGTGAAGAAAGGGTGTAGATATAATGGGGGTGCAGCGGTAAGAGGGTGGGGGAAAAAATGGAACTACTGCATTAAAAATAACTAAGAATGATATGGCAGATTAAACTTAAAACATGGGTATTCATAAGAATCATAAATCTATTATATAGCTCTGTTGAAACAAAAGTAAGGGCTAAGAGGAAAAATATTTTATCATGTAAATACTGATAAAAATAGTCAATTTAGCAATATTGATTATTACATAAAAATGAATACAAAGAAAACACGTTAAATGGAACGAAGTAAAATTTTCATATTAATAAAAGTGACAGCTCCCGAATACTTTATAGTAATCATGGACTTTTGTTCATTAACAATATAGTTTTAAATGTACAAGAAAAAGCGCTGCCTTGACTGCACAGGTGGATTGAAAACCCCATCAACACAGGGAGAGACTCTGAAACTGTCAACGAGACAGATCATTTGATTAACATGGTTCAATAAGCTTTTTCTCTAGTGGATAGATGTGGATGTATGACTCCGCACACATAGGTATGTATGTGTGTATGTATGTATGTGTATATCTACATGTGAGTCCCACACAGATGAAGGAGGGACAGAGATTGCTACTCATCAACAGAAAACTATTTTCAAACACCTTGAAGTGTTCACAAATATTAGAAATCACGCAGGCTACATTCTCTGATGATTAAACAAAGAAGCAGAGAGGAAAGAAGGAAGGAGAAGCGAGAAGGAGGAAGGGAGATTAGCAATAAGCCAATCTAATCATCTAATTTTTTAAAATTCTAACTAAATCTTGGCATAAATAGAAAATAAAACAGAACGACTTTTAAGGAAGAATCTGTTTTTAAAATTATCTTAAGAAAAAGGTATGAACCTGAAGACAAACATCTTTCATGCAGCTAAATGCTTGGAAATGAGCTTTTCCCTGCAGATGGAGGCCGAGGTCGATGGCTAGAGAAAGGAAGTGATATGCCGGAGGAGACAGCTTTACAGGCATCGAAGGGATACTACCCACCAATGGGGAGGTCTCTGAAGAAGCCGCAGACTTGTTCCTGAGAAAAAGAATCAGCTCAAATATCTGCCAAACTCAGATGTTGCGAAATGATACAGAGAGATCTGATTAAGGTAACTCAGAACTCGGGGGCGGGGGAGGAGTAGGGATGGGCCGTAGGAGGAGTTTGCAGAAGCAACTGTGGTCAGTCTAGGACGGGATTAGCTGAGAAGCTGAAAGCCCCAGAGGCAATGGAAACAAAGAGGGCTGGCTGGCTCGCTAGCTCTCTCTCAGGCTCTGGCTCAGGCTCCCTCTCTCAGACTCACTCACTCTCAGGCAGTTCTTCCCCGGTGGCTCCCGGATGATCGTGCTGCAGCCTCCTGCATTTCCCACCAGACAGTATTTAGTGCAGAAAGGAACTCCGGGCACAGCCAGGATCAGACCGGCCTGGCAGAGGGCGGCAGGTTTATTCTTTAGGTGTTCTAGAGGGAACAAGCTCGGAGACAGAAGCCTGCCATGCTTCCAAAATTGTGTACTTTTTGTATATTATGTTTTTTTTTTTTAGCTTGTAAACTAACCCTATACAAAAACAAGATAACTAAAAACAGGGAAAAGCTAGAACTCAGATGTTAAGAATTTAGCCTTAATTGATAGGCTTAAGTGATTGAAGCTGTGACTCGATAGACTTAAGTAACTGCTTTTGAATAAAGACTCCTTTCCTTTACCACCAAACCTTTGCCTCTGGAATTTTCGCCTAGATCGTGGTGGTGGCTGGCAGCAGAACCCCAAGTGCTGTTTGGTAACAAAACAGCTCTCCGAACTTTTCATTACCTCACCTTCAACCAGGGGAACTAGTTTCAACCAGATCAGAAGCCTTGGTAAATAAGTGGAAAAAAAGCAAAGCAGGGAAGGAAAGAGGGCGGCGCACACCCTCTCCTTCCTAGACGTAAGAAAGAGGCTCGACCCTCTTTGGAGTTTCGATCAGAGTTGGAGTTTAACTATTTCATAGATTAATTACTCTGAACACCAAAAATGAGACTGTGCTTTGCAACTAGAAGAAGCCATATGTGTCAGCCAGGGTCCCAGCTGGGAACAGATGGCCCGCGCACTGGGAAACCAAAGAGACTTTCATAAAAGGACTGTTTACAATGGTGTAAGGAGCGTTTGGGGGTGGCAACAAGTGATGACGCAGGACCTCGGGGCTGGCAGCATCAGGAAGCCATTAGTGCCCAGGAAGGGGCTGGGAGCGGAATCTTTCCGAAGCCTACAGCCAGCAGTGGCTTGCTGAGAACTGCCTGGCGGGAGAGGAGTCCTCCGTGGGGGGACACAGCCAACCCACTGCAGTCCAGCAGGGAAGGAACCAGAAGAACAAATGCTTGGGCTTCTCTCTCCTCCCACCCAACTGTACTGTCTCCGGCTAATGCTTCCCAGTGATGAAGTCCAAACTGAAGCCAAAGGACAATGCTACCCACATAGGTTGGCCACCCAGTGCCAAGAGCAGGGAAAAGTGGAGAGTGGATCTGGATGGGCAAATAGAAAATACCCAGTACACGATAAGACATAAGGCCACTGAGAAACAGAACTCCACGGTGTTTATTCTCCTACAGGTCAGGGGGGAGCTGACCCCACTAAGTGAAAGGTAAACAGAAGCACAGTGTTCTGCTCATGGACTGCACGGTCATAATGATACAGGGTGCAGCCAGGGGGACCCCCCAAAAAAAGATTTGGAATGGTGTCCAGAATTCAAAGTGTATAGGAATATTGGAGAGACATATAAGATGTTCTAACCGCCCCGCCCCCAGGGGGAAGAGACGAATGGAGCCAGGCCATTGAGAGCTGTTTTGCATAGCAATAGTTTTGCAGCTAACCTCTGGAATGATTATTTAACATATCTATAACCTTTAACTGGTTTCATAGATATGTTAAATAGCTGTGGCCAAGTTTGGAGCCAGGGAGAAGGGAGTAGTTGGGGACTCAGGATGGTTACAAGGGGCTGCGCTCCTGAGTGAGTAGGCCTGTGTGGGAGCTTGGAAAAGACTGGCTCCGAGACATGAAGGATCCCCGCTTGGCCAAATGAAAGAGAGAGCCACGCGGTTTCAGCAGAGTGAGGACCCCCTCTTGCCCAGGTGAAAGGGAAAACCACGCAGCTTTGCCAGCATGGAGATCCCTGCAGCAAGGTGAAGAAGAAAGCCACATGCTTTTGGTGGAGTGCAGACCCCTGCAGCTTTGGTAGAAGAGGCCCATGTGGCTTTGGGATGCCCCATTTGGCGGAGTGGCCTGGAAAAGCAAGAGAGACTTTGACTGGAACTGGGTACAAAGAACTCTTGCCAGTGGACCATGAGAGGGTACCACAGTATTTTGGATTAACTCGAGATCCTGCAAAGTGACACAGCTGACGGTGCCAGCAGCCTGCAACACAGACGTGTGCTCTTTTCCTGATTTACGGTACCCGGAGTTGGGACAGGGGGAGAAGGGAGAGCTGTGTGGGTGTAGGTATATACCCTAAAGGACTTTGCTATTTTAGTGGTGGCGTTAGGCCTGAATAGCATTAAATAAACATTTTGTTTACTTTTCACAAATCTCTGGCATTGAGAGATATCTTTCCAATTGGCGGCGGACAGAAGAGCCCAGTAGATATTAGTATTTTGGTTTTTGGGGGGAGGGGCCCCTGTTGTATAGCAGTTTTGGGCAACCCTAGGTGGGCCAAATATTGTATTGCCTCTCCCTCGGACCGCTTGTTCGGTAACAATAATATAGCAGAATGTGACTATCATTTAAATACTGATTTAGCAATTCAGAAAAGTGATCAGTCCTTTTAGGAATGAAGAGTGGGAGGAAATATTTCTGTCTTGGTTCTGGGACTCAACCTCCTGGACGCCAACCCTGAGCTTGTGTTTCGTTTTCTGACAACCACGGTATCTTCAGCTGCAAAGACTTCTCAGGGTCCCTCTGCATGGACTTCAGTCCTATTTAACATCTGTGGCTTTTTGTCCTATGGCTTTTGCCTTTCTATTCTCATGCAATTACTTCTATCTTTCAATTAGTCTCTTTGCGTGCAGCCATTAATGTGCGGTATCACTCTCCCAAGTGAAAGACACTCTCCCCGATCTTTGAATGAGAACCTCTCCTATTCTTTTCATCCATCAGAACACGGTGTGAATCTAAGTGACCTTCAGCTTCTGATTGCCACTATGCTCCTTTGAGCCCCATTGAAAAGGATGGAACCATATACTAGAAAAAGCCTCATGATAGTAATAATAGGTATCATTGATTAAGCCCTTACAAGCACTTTACATGTGTAAGGAAAAGTTTTCCTTGACTCTCTTACAGTTCCCGGCTAGGTCTGCAGATTAAACTGACAAAGACAGAGTAACAGGAGAAGAGCATTCAAATGTGTTTAATATGAAGGAATGAAGACTCAAAGAAATAGTTAGAGCTGTGCACTTTGTGCCAGGGATGATGAGGAGTGGGCAGTCACGGAGGAATAAGATGAGGCAGACAGCACGAGCTAATGTAGTAAACCGGGGGGAGGCTTAGTAAGGCCTGATGGTTGAGATTCTTCTCAGTGTCCCTGTGTTTCAGAGCTAAGAATGTTCCTCTCCTTCGGGGACACAGAAGGCACCTCTCACAGGAGTGTTTTATCATCTGTTTTGAGAGAGAAGGGTGGGGTGAGGATCACAGTCACCTCCCTGTTACTGCTATTTTCCCAAACGCCTTCAGGTTCCGAGGCATCGTATTTGGGTGTACCATGTCCTGAGCCCCGTCACACATTCATTCCTACTGATATCACCCTCGTCTCTGTATAAAGAAATTTAAGGGTTTGGAAAAGCTCACAGCACTGGTACCTGATGTTGCAACTGAACTGGGACTGTGCTCTTCTTGACTACATCATATGGCCCTTTCTACATGTTAACTTCTCTCTCCACCTGACTGTATTTGTGACCTTCAGAAATTCACTCATCTCTGTTTCTTAGTTCCTTCATCTGCAAAATGAAAATGACAGTAATACCTGGGTTGCCCTTCTTGGCAGAGCTGTACAGAAATATCACTGGATGCATGACTGGAGTTGATGCATTCAGAATGGACTCACTAGGGGGCAGTGCAGAGTGTTGTTGGTGATACACAGGTTTTGTACCTACTCCTCTAACTAAGCTATACTGTCTCGCCTAAGAAGAGAGCTAAGAGGAGCTCGTCCTCTTAGAAACGCACTGGGTCTTCCTGGCCTCCCTGAGGACCACAGCCCTGGTTCCCTTTTCTGGACCAGCTGACTGCACTGGCTCTCCGGGCCAGGGACCACCCAGACCTGTTGGGTGGGCCCAAGGAGCGCTGCCCACACACAGAGCTGTGGTTCCCCGGAGGCCAGCATTCAGCAGCCACCCTGACTGCACCTGGAGTTGGGGAACAAATGACCCCTGGACAAAATGCCCTGTCAAAGCCATCCCCCAGAGGCAAGTACTTTTCTCTGTGGCCTTTTGTCCGTTTCCCTTTAAAAGTAACAATAATAATTTACTCTGATAACTACAGGACAAGAGATCAAACGTCAAACTGCTATTGCCCAGGAGAAACACCCTCTGCAACATCTAAATTTTTTAACTCTTTCCTCCCTCCCCTGCAGGAAAATTACAAAGAGTGCTATGCGGTTAATCTATAACTTTCCGGTGACATCATGTGAGACCGAGAATATACCAAAAACTCCTCAACTCCTGGGAATTTGCCTGGCCCGGTTCCAGAGGCATATCAACCCAAGAATTTTATAAATGCTAATTTGATTTTCATTTTTGTCTTATTAACCAAAAAACACATATTTTTATTGTACCACATAACTAAGCCAAAACATGAGCTCCCTAAATCTATTCTATGAATTGGGCCAGGTAAATCAATTCTGCTTGTCAGTGAAATTCAAATGTTTTACTTTAATGAATTCCATTCTGATGTGTTTCCTAGAATGCCTCTCTAAACTTGGCATTTGTGAAAATGGGCTAATGACATCCTTCTTTAACAAATGGAAATCACAGGCTTCAGGGTCAGCGGATCTTTCTTTTATCCTACCAACCGTATTTGGGGATCACATGTGTTGCAGATCCTGAGGCATAGTTCTGGGGTTTGAATCCTTGTCCCCATTTCCCAAGAGAAGTGAGACCATCTAGGGGTGCGTTAGACCCAGAGAACTTGACCCAAAGAGATGGGGGTCATATCCGGATATTCACACTTAGAGAATTCTGAACCCACCAACTGATCCCTGACCATCTGCCTAATCAGGAATGTGGGGGGTTATTTTTTGCTATAACCAAAAAAAAAATGTCTAGAACTCTTACCTACGAAGTCACCCTGGGCAACTTCACATCTTTGAATCTTGTGTTCTCATCTGTAAAAACAAAGTAATTATGTAGGATACGGGTGAAATACCTGCCATGGTGGCAAATAGTAGTTGTTCGAAAACGCAGTTTTCATTGCTATTGGTACTATTCTTTTTAAAATATTTTTATTTATTTACTTTTAGGGAGAGGAGAAGGGAGAGAGAAAGAGAGGGAGAGAAACATCAACATGTGGTTGCCTCTCATGCGCCCCCTACTGGGGACCTGGCCCACACCCCAGGCATGTGCCCTGACTAGGAACCAAACCAGTGACCCTTTGGTTCACAGGCTGCCCACAATCCACTGAGTCACACCAGCCAGGGAAGTATTATTCTTTTCATTCCCATAATAGCAAGCTTTTCCTATATGTCATTTTTACATTTTCAAATACCTTCTGAGACTTGCTAAGGTACATTTAGATCCGTGCAATATATCCAAATGCATTTAATGACAGGCTATGTCACAAGGCCACTTGGCTATGGTCTTTGTCTTTCAAAAAAATGCTGTTCAAAATCAACGAATCACAGAAATTAAGAGCCCAGCCGGAGGTATGGTTGAGTCAGAGTCCGGCCCGAGGAAAGCGGAACCCTTCGCACCCCGCAGACAGGGCTACGTGCAGGACCGCTGGGTCTTACCTCTCAGTACGCGATCTACGTTTCCTTGTACTTGAAATGGTTCATTAGAAGAGGTGGGGGAATCTGAAATGTCGCAGCGCATTTCTCCTGGCCCACCGTCACGTTTCATGAATTCCCCTGCAGAACCCATTTGGGGTAAGCAGTGACCCGATCCCAGCGAATTGCCTCTGTGCCTCTCATCTCCTGTCCCCTCTTCACACCCTGACACATCTGCATCGTGAGGCTCAGGAAGATCCATGAAGTCCTCAGGCGGTGTTTACGGCTAATGTTTTATTGTTTTTTAAAATTATTTCTTTGAGGCTCAGCTTTCTCACAGTAAAGTGATAGAAAACTACTGTGCAGACAGTGAGGAAAACACTTTTTAAAAAAATAGGGAAAGAAAAGCATAAGATACACAATTTCAGCCTGGGAATTCTTAGAGCAACCCTGCGGATGAGAGACAATATCTTCGAAGTTTTAGATAAAGACACAATTTGCATTTATTTGCAGACGCCAAACTCGAAGAAAACATTACTTTCTGTCAGTGGCGTTGGCTTTAAAAATATTTATAAGATTGAAATAGTTGCCTGGAGGCAGACATTTCATTTGAATGCCATAGGTCAGGCATGTTGGCTAACACCCCAGATAATATTGATGTACCTTCGAAATTTAAAATAATGTTTATAGAATTTATTTATTCATTCATATATAGAGCACCCATCCTGAAGTATCTGGGACACTGAACAAGGTTTACATAAATCTGACTGTATTTTTTTCCTCTGGGCCATTTGGCTCAGTCTGGTAGACCATAAATATTCAATAATACTTTACAATGGCAAAGCATCTTTTATGCAAACATCTCTAAGTACATTATTCACCAGTTTTGCAATCTCCTTTTTAACCTACTGGTAAAGTCACAGAAACTAATTGACTTTCTCCAAGGTCCCACAACAAATTGTTTATTTGTAGATTAGAGTGCAGGTGCCGTGATCTTGGCTATAACTAAAAAGGGAAACAAACAAACAAGCACATGTTTTGGCTGCTTATGCTGATGACCTACACTAAATATTTCTAAATTGAATCTATTAGGCAAACCGTCCTCCTTAAAGATGTTAAATGTTGGTGATGCACCCCATTGAATCTTATCACTTTTGTTCCAATTTGCCCAAGGCCAGTTACCATTTTCAGAGACCCGAGAATGGCCTATTTTAATTGAATCCTGCTACAAACACTTAAACTTTTACTCTTTAATCAAATCAGTTTTCTAAGTAGAAATGAAAGTTGGATCAGAAAAAGGAAACTTTTCATGGCAGTAACAGCACAGTAACATATTTAAGCCAAGTGACAAGTGGGGAAATCACTGGGAGACTTGGGCCGGCCTCAAACAGTTCAGCTCGTCCAAGCAATAGAATATAGTTTGAATTCTTCATTTTACCTCTTCTCCCAAATATTGACAGGATGCATGGTAAATATAGAAAATTAATAAAATACTGAAAAATGAGAAGAGTTTAAAAATCACTCACCACTGTGACAGGCTTAGGAACACACGTGGCAAACCTCCGACCTCGAGGACCATACCTGGCGGATGGCCCCAGCTGCAGAGCCCAGAAATCGAGATAGTGCCAGGATGTGCACAGGGTAACCCTTCCCCGGGCTGATGCCAGCCAACACCCAGCATGGCAAAGCTGCTAGGAGCAGCTGGCTCCGGGAAGTTGCGACTCTTCAGACAGGTGCCTTTGGATCAAGGATTCCCCAAAGACCTTGTGAACTTTCCTTTGCACTGTGTCTCAGTCTAAATGCTTCACTCAAACTTCCTTTTTCCCTTTTCCTCTCTCCTTCACTCGTCATATCTACGTCCCACCCTCTCCTGGCTCCCACCTTAGTTTCTTCATGGCATTTCTCCTGATAAACATGCATGTCTAACATCATCGCAGCATGGGTTCATCCTGGCATGGGCCCAGAAAAACACACCACTGTTGGTGTTGATGGTGATGGTGGTGGTGGTAATGGTGGTGGTGACAGTGATGGTGGTGAGGATAATGATAATAAGGACTAACAATTATTCAGTTCTTTAAAAAATTTCCAGGCCATCTGCTAAGACGTTGTTTAAATGACTCTATGTGCTACTCCCAATCACCTCTAAAAGGTAGACGAAAGTAAGTCATGAAAATATTAAGCAAAAAGTCAAGATCAATTGTTTGTGAAAGTCAAATTAGAAGTCTTGTTTTTCCTAAGACAGTAATTGTTCATAGGTGCCAGTAACTACTAGATTATGTTACCACTCTATTAATATTTTATAGCCTAATCTTCCAGTCTTTTTTCTGAATCATTATTACATGGTTATAATTCCATTTAAAATAATAAATATCATAAGTTAAACCTTTTAAAAAAATAAATTTTGATTCCTCTAAAATTTGCAATTGTCTATTTCACTCTCCTTATATCAGTTTGGTCCAATGTTTCAAATACCATTAGTTAACTTATTCAAATATTTTACATATTTGTATCACATATATGGAGAGTCACTACATAAATTTTGTGTAGTTGGGGAAATTTCTCAAGCCATTAAAACAAACAAAGGTCAAACAAGACAAAGCCAAGTAACTTAGACAACCAGAACCATTAAAACACCCCAAGTAACAATACCTAGTCTCCAATTTTAGAATTTATTGACACTATTAAATAGCCCACTTAATAACAACCTAATGGGCTTTCTTTCTAAACAAAACAATTGGTACAATGAAATACACTTAAAAAGATGTATGTCCCATAAGCATCTTTCTAAGAAAGAACATCAGCTTGGAACGTGCAGCATCTTGCTGAGTCCAGAGCAGAACTCTCTGATAACAGCAAGTGCCATTTAGAGCAATCTGAGGTTCCTTTGAAGCATAAATGAATTGACTTTCCTCAAGGTACCCCAAGAATCACCAGGTTCATCTTCAGTCTTGGCAGGTTTCTGCTGATGTCTCAAAACAACACCCTAAATACAGAGTTTTCCAGACTTTTCCTGTTAAAGATTGACTGGTCACTACCAGTAGTTTTCTACTGTATGCCCACTGGCAGTGTAGAGAGAGGAGTGTTCCATCAACAATCCCCCCAAAAGCAGATTTCTTAAATAAATATGCATTCTAACAAGAAGAATATGCTTGTTCTGCGAATATAACTTTAAGACAAGTTACTAAGACGTTGCTTCCCAAACAGGTTGCCCCTCCACAAGTCCCTCCCCTATGGGATGGAAAGCTACTCTGTCCTTCACTCTGACTTTCCCCCTTGCCTCATCTTTAAAGCGCCCCATCTTTATAGTGCCTCTTCTGGAATTTGGATGGGATCTGAGCAACATTTGGGATGTAATATATGTGACTACTGCCTCCACGTCATAGATGTTGGAAAGACTCTCTTACCCCAACCCAGCCCAAACCTTCAGCTCTGACTTTTAGATGGGCCAGAAAATGAATCCCTACATGTTCTCTTTGCCTCTAAAACTGAGCACCCCTCTGACTCCTTCCCTGGTTGGCACTACTTAGAATTCTCCCTTCCCTGGGAAGCTCGTACTTTCTGCCCCACTCATTTTGGCTGTGGGTTCCGCATTGCCTTTTGTTGCTCTGTTTCTTGTGAGGCTTTTCATGCTCCCCCTCCGTCACTAACAAGTTATGTGATGTTGATCCTATCAATCCATTCCTTTGCCTCTATAAAGTAAGGAATGTGTGTCCATGTCATGAAACCATGTTCCCTGGAGAGGACTCAAGAACTGCCACATGGGGAAAAAGCGATAGAGAGGGACATGCTGGGCAAGAAGGCACAAGTTCGGCTGTCCTCTACTCCAGCCACAGAAGCTCCACTTGCATCTGTTTTGTTAGAGATCTGAGTTACATTTTTCTTGAAGACCTAGGTCTGCCGCATTAAAAAAAGATTTTCAAATCACTGGACTGAAAGGTTTCTAAAGTTCTTTCTAGTCTTTTCTATATCCTAAAAGAATGTTGGTTTCATGTGGGTTCCTTCTGAGTCTTTCAATTCTTTTCATTATTTAACCTAGAATTTGCAACTTTTGCTCCTCTTTTCATATCCCTCTAAGACCCTAGTTCAAGTGTTGTCTTCCATTATCACTTTAGCTCTCAGCTGGCAACGCGACTATCAGCAAATCCACCCAGAAATGGGGATGTAAATTTCCAGTCACCTCCCGGACATTTCCATTTAAATCCCCTAAGCGAACCACAAACCAAACTGAACCTCACCACACAAACTCCAAATCTGCTTCACCTCCAGGGTATTTTATTCCTGCTCAGAGTACCATCATCCAGCCAGCTACCTAAATCATGATCACAAGAGTCACCTTAGTCTTCCTCCTGTTTTCTTCACGCTCTACATTGCTTTCATGAACACATCCTGGTTCTTCCTCA